GTGCTGGTGGACGTCCTAGAGCACGGGGTCTGGCTGTGCTGGTGAGCGTCCTGGAGCACAGGGTCTGGCTGTGCTGGTGGACGTCCTGGAGCACAAGGTCTGGCTGTGCTGGTGGACTTCCCTGGAGCACGGGGTCTGGCTGTGCTGGTGGACGTCCCGGAGCACGGGGTCTGGCTGTGCTGGTGGACGTGAGTGATGTGGAGGTGGGTTGTCTTCCTGCTTAGTTTGCTCCCCTCACTTTGGCCGCCCAGACGAGAGTGTCATCCACTTGGGCTACTGTGGCTTGTAGCACTAGACACTGACCCCACCTTAGTGTCACCTCTAACTTTGGCCATGGGCCTCTCAGGCCTCTCGGGCCTGATGTGGAAGCATCCCCTATAGAATCTGTGAGACCTGGGGGCCCGCAGCCCTCCACTGTGTTCTGTGGTGGCAGCTGGGCAGTTCTGATGGAAACTTACGGGAACTGCTGCTATTGAGAGCATCCTGCTGGTCACAGCCTGGGGTGATGAAGGGCCCCTACAGGTGGGGACAGCGCCAGCATGGCCAAGAGCCCATGTCTCATCTCGAACTCCTCACCCATAGGGCTGCAATCCTTGTGGGCTGAGAGGTAAAGACTTTATCACTGCCGTGGGCCTCTGGGGAGCGGACTCCACAAAACGAGCTGCTTTGATTAGCATGTTAGTGTCATCAGCATCCTCTTCTTGGTCATCATTGTCTGCTGTGGAAACAGGCCACAGGCCTTTCCCCATGCTGGATCATCGCGGGAGGAAGCCAGTAGCTTAGGACTCCTGGACCTCTGCCATGCAGCATTACTGGCCCATGGCCTGGGGTTGAGAGTGCCATGACCCCAAAGCGAGACTTTCCCAAGGCTTCATTTGGAACTGGCAGGCAATGTGTTAGAGTTTCCTACATCTCCAAAAGAAAAGTTTCTTATTTCTCTAGGAAAAGTTCATTATTAGAGGAATAGAAGCCTGTGCTATGCAGGCATCACCTCTCAAAGGTCAAACTGCTGCGTCTTATGTGTTATCCATGGCCCAGAATAACTTCTGATAACCCTTGGGCATCTGTCCTTGGGAGTTTCTCACATGTGAATCCAGTTCCTCAGTATGAAATTCACGGGAACATTCTGAAACACCCCACTTGCTCCTGGGCAGAGTATCAAAAGCTCTCGCTGGCATCCTGAGCCCAGCAGTTTCAAGATCTGATTGGGAAGTTCACTGTCCAAGGAATTGAAATGTCCTCTGTTTTTCTCAGCATCAGATCAGACCTTCCCAAGTCCTCCCAGGCACCGTATCCAGGCAGGAAAACAGAAAACACTTGGGAGCCGGAGGCAGAATGGGGCCCCTTCCAGCCCCAGCTCGGATAGCTGCGTGGGGCAGCAATGAACCAACGGCCAGACGTGCAAGTCTCCATCCTCTGTGTGTGTGTGCTGGACTCAGAGTGTCTGGCCTAGAGCTGGGCTTTAACAAAGGCCTGTTTCTTCTTCAAAGCTGGCTCAGTGTGGAGGAGGCCCCTCTTTGGACTGAGCCCTGTCAGCAGGGAGCTCCCTTAGGCCTGCCATGGAGTGGGTCAAGGCAGCATCCACACAGGATGGAAGGGCAGTGGGCCATCAACACCAAGGCCTTGAGTGCTGCGCAGTGGCCTCCAGAGTGCTCCCCAAGGCCTGACATCAACAAGCGTGTAGTGGTTTTCTGTTAACCTTTCCTGGTGGCACACACTCGGTTTAAGATGGTGACAGGGACCCTCCCTGGAACCTTCTTCAGCCCCTTACCCCATCCCCCCCCCATGCCACCCCACGCCCCACTTCCTGAGTGTCCTCTGTCCTCACACCAATACCCTGGGGGGGAGGTCCACCTCGTCCCCTCCCTGGGGGGTGCACGCTCAGGCTCTCCTCAGCCCGCATCTAGGCAGCTACCTGCAATCCCTCATGCTAATTGGGAAAAACTCTTAAGCTAGATGCATCCCCCTCTCAGGTTTTCCAAACATGATGCAAAATTAGAATTTTGTGGCAATGGCTGCAGGGTATTAATTACATTAAAGTGGAGCTGTCTTCTTGTTGACAGGCCCTTGAAATAGAGCTGAGAGCTGGATCAGTCCCTGCCCCAGAAGGGGAGCCAGGAGAGGGCTAGTCAGCAGGGCTCCCATGGGGCCACGGTTCTGGAGAGAGGCAGGGGTGGGACAGCCTCCTATGCCTGAGTCACAGCCGGCAGGGGCTGGGCCTGGGGCCCTGGAAGCACCTGAGGGCTCTGGCTTCCCCCAGGGCTTCATTTCAACCCCAGAGGTTTCTGTCTTCCCCATCCTTTCCCATGGTTTTGCCATAAATCCAAGAAGGCACCTATTAAGTTTATAGTTTCTGACATTTAAATTTCTTTTCTCCCTTTAGGCTTTTAAAGCATCATGGCTCTCAGGTTTTCGGGGGGGGGCGTAGCATTGGCCCAATAATTTAAGTACAAAAGCAGAACAAGTTTATGTAGAACAGGAAATTACTCTGTAATTTAAAAAATAGGAACATCATTTAAACTGGTTATGGTTCTGTTTTCTTCCTATTTTTGTCTTTTTTTGAGACAGTTTCAAGCTATCACCCTGGGTAGAGTGCCATGGCATCACAGCTCACAGCAACCTCAAACTCTTGTGCTTAAGTAATTGTCTTGCCTCAGCCTCCCACATAGCTGGGACTACGGGTGCCTACCACAACGCTCGGCTTTTTTTTTTGTTACAGTTGTCTTTGTTGTTTTGGCAGGTCTGGGCTGGGTTTGAACCCACCAGCTTCGGTGTATGTGGCTAGCACCCTCCCCACTGAGCTATGGGCACCCACCCCTGTTTTCATTTTAGAGTAGAGGGTTGTCTAGGACACACTGGTGTCACCGAAATGAATGATTGTTTCCTCTAATGTTTTACCTGTTGGCTGAACTGCAGGTGCAGGGCCCTGCCTGCTGGGTGAGTAACCACTAGGCCAGGCCAGTGCAGGGTCCACTCATGCTTGGGGTCCCCAGAGGTCCAGTCCTGCCTAGTGGCTCTCGGTGCTGCCATTGCCTCCAGGGGGCCCGGTCTGTTGGGTTTCCCCGCTCCCTGGGGCATCCCCTGTGTGCTGACAGGCAGCTGGCTTCCAAATCTCCATAAAATCCTATTAAAAAGCCAAAGCCCCCTCCTTCCTGGGTGCGGAGTCTCTCAGGTTTCAGACCCTACAGGTGTGGGGGAGACATGGACAGGACCTGCAATCATGTCTTCATCTTCGGGGCACCATGTCTGGGCAGTTGTTTGGGTCTGGCCCTGAGATATGAGCACAGGGCTGGGTGGGCCCTTCTGTTGAGTGGGTAGCTGCCCTGCAGCACTCGTGGTGGTGGATGCAGGCTCAGGGGCGCCCACCAATGTGCCTTCACCAGGGCTGGGTTCAGAGTTGGCCCTGCCAGGGGACCAAGGTCTCCTGTCCAGAGCACATGCCCAGCGGATCCCCCACCCGTGCAGTGGGGGGTAGGGGGCGGCAGCTCTTCAGCAAGCGTGATTTCTAGAGGAAGTCGTGTGTCCTCCTACCCGCAGCACCAGCTAGGGGCCACCAGTCGGGCTGCAGCAGTTCCCTTCCATCTCACCTCCCCTCCCCTCCAAACTCTGGATGGTTTTCAGGAACCTCTTTGGGAATATAGTGGCAAAAGTGGCTGCAGAGAGTCCACATTCGTGATCCCCCAGCCAGGTCCCTGGTTGATAACACACTTAAGAGTAAAAGAATATCACATTACCTTCAGGGTTACATTTAGGGAAAAAGTTTCAACAGGGATCATCCATTGGTGTCTGAGAGTTTCTTGGGCACGAGGCCTTTCCTGACATTTTAAAGCCACCTGACCACAGACTCCACACTTGTTTATACTTCTGTCTTGTGGCCTCAGAGGAGGTGGTCCTGTCTGACTTTCCCATGTCCTTTTTGCCCTTCAGGCCACAATGAACGCCCGGCCCCAGCGCATCCTAGACACATCCTCTCTCACGCAGTCGGCCCCTGCAAGCCCCACCAACAAGGGCACGCACATCCACCAGGTGGGGTAAGTGGCCCGAGCGCCTCACTGGCCAGCTGGCTTTACCACTGAGGTCTGTCGTGGCAGTGGAGGGGTCCCACTGGCTCAGGTCTGTCCCCTGTTGTCCTTCTTCCCCACTGTCTACCTGGTTCCCTCCTCCCTCTCTGGTGTGAACGTCCCCCCACCCCTCTGCCTATCCAGTCTGAGACCGACCTTGAGGACCCTTCACTTGCACACCATGGCAGCAGCAGCTGAACTAAGCCTGCATTCTGTGCCTATCAGAATTTTGAGAGAGGCTCTAGATTCTCCAAGTAGGTAACCAGCAGGGCAGAGTCTCCTCTGTCAAGGTACCATTTACACCTTGGGAAGCAGCTTAGCGATCTCCAGGCTCAAGTAGAGTGGGTGTGAGCCCCCACACTCCTCCCAGCACACTGGCTCCAAGATCCCTTGGTCTGGCCCCAGCTTACCGCTCAGGCAGTAGCGTTCAGGGAGACAGTCCTGAGAAACTGCCTGGAGGACAGCTATAAGTCAGGGTCAGCCATTGGGATTTGAAAGTCATGCTGATTTATGGGGCAGCTGAGGGCGTTCCCAGGTGGGATAGGGTGGGTAGTGCTGGATGCTGCCTGGGGGTTTTGTCACAAAGTCACAGACTCTAAGTGGACACGGTTTGTTCTTTTCCCACTGGCAGAGGCTCCCCCCCGACAACCAGCACAAGCAGCTCCAGCCTGACCAACGACATGGCTAAGCAGCCAGTTAGCCGGGACCTGCCTTCGGGCCGGCCGAGTGCCACAGGCCCCGTGGGGGCACAGTACACCCCTCACTCACACCAGTTCCCTCGGACACGGAAGATGTTTGACAAAGGCCCAGAGCAGGTACAAAGACTCTTCGCTGTTTTCAAAACACTAAGTCTGATGAATCCGATGCTGGTAGGTTTGCTTCTCAGGGGCGAGGCCTGGGCCCTTAGATTTAGGCCATTTGTGTCCCCTTGGCCAGTGAGACTCTGGGGCCCAGTGTGGTCATATCACAGGAGTGGGCATCCTGTTCCTGCTGCCTCATGTTCTGGCCTCACCATTCCTGGCGGAGTGCCTGGGACACAGTAACACGGAGCTATGCTGCTGCCCCTCTTGGGTGAAAAGCATTTTGCATCTACATGGTGTGGCAGCCACTCCACGGACCGTTTATTCTGAGTGAGCTGCTTGTTTCCTCTGTAAATGTTCAGTTGTGCTGTGTAGATAGTCTGCTCTCTTTGCTGTTAACTGAGTTAAGAAAATAAGTTGCGAAAGAGAGAGGAGTTGATGCTTCCGTTTGCCAGGGTTGTGAGAACTGTGCGCGGCAGTGACTGGTGTGAATACCTCTGCTGTCCTGTCTAGAGTGTTTGCCACTTTCTCAGCTGAAGATAGATGGGGGGACAGGCAAACCAGGTAGTTAGTGCAGGCTGTGCCCAGTGCTCAGGCCTCCCGGGACACCCACAGCAGTGAGCACCTCTCAGCAGCAGAGTGCATTTCATAACCCCTCTATAATCCGGTTATTTAAAAGGAGGCCGCAGCTCATCTCTGGAACAGGAATCATCAGGTTAGAGATGGAAAGGCTGTGTGGCAGCAGATGGGAGGGTCCCCTGGGTGTCACCCAGCTCCAAACCCACCCTAACCTAAGTGCCTCGATGGCAGGGGAGTTGGGACTAGCAGCTTGCTCCAAGCATAGCTGCCACCTTTAGCAGGGTCTGAGCACGGGCAAAAGGGCCACAGATGGGGTAGGGCCATGGTCCAGGGAAGCAGCTAACCCCAGTCCCCAGCTCCACCCTCAGCCATGCACCTCCTCAGAGCCAGGGCAGCTGCTTCCAGGTGGGAGGTAACAAGGGGATTTCTGCTGACCACACAGAGTGAGACACACCCTGGCTGGCAGCTGTGACCACCACAGGTCCTACAGTACAAACAGCCAAAGCCTGGTCCTGAGGGACTCCCAGCATCTTACTATCCAAGTGGCTGGATGCCCCTGCCAGCCAGTGCCACCTGTGCTCTCCAGCCAGGGGCACTTCACACAGGCCATATGGGTCCTTGGGAGCTATTGGTGATCAGTACTGGTACCAGGCAGCAGTGGCTTTTTGGAGATTGATAAACATATTACGTTCACCCAGGTGGGCCCTGACGGGAGCATGAGTGTCACCTTGTGGGCTAAACCATGTTGACTGGCCGGCCGGCGTGGGGAGGCAGGCAGTCCGCTCCCCCACGAAGCCTGGGCCTCTCACCCTGGTCAGGCCCTTGGGGTCTCCTGCTCACAGGGGTGCAGAAGTGAGAGCACAGACACAGACATCCTCAGAGGCCAGGCTGGCGCCAGTGCCACAGCTCAGGGTAACATGGCTGACCATTGTTTCTTTGTTCTTCCAACCCCTCCTTTCCAAATACCCGAAAGACCACAGACGATGGGGATGATGCCGCTGGACACAAGAGTTTCATCTCCGCCACGGTACAGACGGGATTCTGCGACTGGAGTGCGCGGTATTTTGCCCAGCCTGTCATGAAGGTGCGTCCTGAGCACAGGGTCCAAAGGGCCCGGCAAGTGCGCGTCCCTCCTCAGTCTGCAGCCTATGCCCACCAGCCACCCTAAGCCCTCTGCTGCACAATCGTGGCTGGCTCACACCCCTTCCTGCCAGCCACCCCCAGTCTCCCTCACCCCTGCAGGCTCCCTGTGGTTCCCATTAGCCCAGGTAGGGGCTGCACAGGTCACCCCCAGAGCGGTGACCTGAGCAGGTGGGCAGGGGCCCTGGGGCCACACTAACAGCTCCAGCACTGGGCACTGTGGGAGGCTGTCCTGGTGGCATATTAACAGTTAAGGCAGAAAAGCAAAAGAAACAGACACCACTTACCTCCCTGTCATCTACACAAGAGAAATAGCTGCCCTTTGGGAGCCTGTCAGTAGGCCACTCCTCCTCCCTGGCACGGTGACTCCAGGCTTCCCGCAGTGAGGACTTCATACCCAGTCAACTCTTGGGCAATTTAGAGCTTTGGGGAGTGTCAGCCTCGGCCACCTGGAGATAACTCTGATGGATTTGGGCCAGTCCACAAGACCGTCCCTCTGGGTCAACACTGTAGCCATGGCTACACAGGGTGTTCTGTGGTGTGCGCTGTGGGGACAGTGGCTCTGCCGGGCTGACAGGAGCCATGTGTCAGGGTGACGCTCCAGGGCCTCCCCATGGGGTGGAGCATGGGCTGTGCTCTGCCAGCAGAGTCTTTTTTTTTTTTTTTTTTTTTTTTTGAGACAGAGCCTCAAGCTGTCCCCCTGGGTAGAGTGCCGTGGCATCACAGCTCACAGCAACCTCCAACTCCTGGGCTCAAGCGAGTCTCCTGCCTCAGCCTCCCAAGTAGCTGGGACTACAGGCGTCCGCCACAACACCTGGCCATTTTTTGGTTGCAGCCATCATTGTTGTTTGGTGTGCCCGGGCTGGGGATTCAAACCCGCCACCTTAGGTGTATGTGGCTGGCGCCTTAGCCACTTGAGCCACAGGCGCCGAGCCAGCAGAGTCTTTAAGTCTAAAGCACATTCTTAGGAAACCTTCCTCTTCCCCCGTAAATAGCTAAGAACTGAAACGGCAGCTGGTTCTTACTGTGCGTCAGCCTCATGTCTAAGTCTTGTCTGTGAAGAGAATCTGGGCCCTGTTAACAGCTCTTCCACCGTCCTTTTCCCCATGGTGAATACTGATTATTTTGTCCATGAAAACACAAAATAGCCAGTACCTGGGGCAAGTGATAAAGTTCTATTGTATTAGGCCTCTCTGCTGGGGAGACCTGGCTCCCATTTTTTAAGTGAACATGAGAGTGTAAAATGGCCCCAGTTTTCTAGAAAGCAGTTTGGCAGTAAGTATCAAAAGCCTTAAATGTTCCCGTTAACCCAGTAATTACTTTGCTAAAATACTGTTTAGCCAAAATAATGAGTGACATAGATGATCTCTGTATTATTTATAATAATGAAAATTGGGATTCACTTAAATATCCAGCAGAGGGGAATGGTTTTATGGAATATTTGATGAGATATTATTAGAGCTATTAAGATACTGAACATACAACAAATCAGTGGCATAAGGAAGTGTTCCAGATAAAACTTTCTTATAAGAGAAAAGCCAGCCGGGAGCCCAGCCCTGCAGGTGGTGGCCGTGTTCTTGTGCTGGGACAGACACAGGTGCATGTGGGAAAGAGTCCGGGGGGAAGCAGATCGTAACCGGGCCCCACACCACAGGATCATGCTGGCACTCGGGGTATTTTTTCTTTCCATTCTTGTCTACGGTTTTTGTACGAAGTACCTCTACAGTGAGAGGGGAAGGGATTAAGGAAACAAACGCCGCCAAGAGCTAGCTGAGCATGTGGACTGCGCCATGGTCAACCAGCATCTGAGCTGAGACAGGCTGGGCCCTGCCCTGCTTACTTCTAGGTGGCCTTAGGCGTGTTGTCCCCTGCAGAGGAAGGAAAGAGAGTGACCTTTTCTGATCACTAAGACTCTTGGTAAGAAAGGAAAAAGTGACAAATACCAAAATTTGTACACAGTAAACAAGAGCCTCCTGGGCTGTGAGGGAGTGAGAGCCAGGACGTGACTAGGCACAGGGCTGTGCGTGACAAGTCGTCCTTTAGAACCTGCGTGGTCTGTTTAAAAGTTAAATGGAATTTAGTTTAACATTAAGGGAAGTTTGGTTTCCTGGATGCAGTCAGGTGCTTAGGCCAGACCAGGTCTAGTGACACGGAAAGGGGACGGTCCTGTCCTCAGGGTTGTGAATCAGGGTGGTTGCCAGTATGATACATCAGCAGCTTTTCTTAAAATCCTTTTCTTAACAGGTTTTCTTAAAACCCTGTTCTCAGTCATCTGTGTACAAGAAAAGGGAGGAGTAGCCTAGGGACTTCAAAACTCGTTTTTCTTAAACTTACAATTGAATTTGATTTCTTCCTAGAGGATTTATTTTCCATTCCTGAGCATCAAAATGAGTGAGGCTTCCTTGAGCTCACAGCCCCAATTTCAGGACGAAGGGACTGTGATCTGCCAGGGGCACCTCCATGGGCCACTCCCATGTGCGCCCGAGGTCTCCCCTTCTCCACAGCTCATGCTGTGCGTCTGCCAGATTCCCCCACGTGGAGGAACCACAGAGTGTCAGCCCCGTGGTCACTGCGGGTGAGATGAGTCCCGGGGTCTCTGCTGCACACAGGAGGCAGGAAATAGTAAACGATCGCTTTCTCTGACCTGCCGGGCCTGCGGAAGCCGCTCTCCTTTGGCTGTAACGCTAAGAGACGAGATGTAGGTGTGACTAAAACCATGCTCGGTCATGGTCAGCCTTGTCTGTAATTCTCAGTGGTAACTCTTGTCTTAGGGCTAGATATGAGTTTTCTTTTACATTCAGTAGCAACCTTTTCTGAACTTTAGAAGAAGCAGCAAGTCATGTTGGTCTTGGTTTTTTTGTTTATTTGTTTGTTTTGTTTTGTTTTGTTTGAGACAGTCTCACCATGTTGCCCTCCGTAGAGTGCTGTGGCATCACCGTTCACAACAACCTCAAACTCTTGAGCTTAAGTGATTCTCTTGCCTCAGGCTCCCAAGTTGCCGGCTATTTTTTTGTTACAGTTGTTCAGCTGGCCCAGGCCGGGTTCAAACCCGCCACCCTTGGTATATGTGACTGGCGCCATAACCACTGTGCTATGGGCGCTGAGCCGATCTTGGTAATCTCACTAGGTGGTATCCATAAGGATATTTTTATTAATTTAATTAATTATCTAATGACATGTTTGTGTAATAAAATGCATTAGGGACTTTTTATTATTAGCCTGCTTCACATATGAACTAAAAATAGCTATAGCTCCAAGGCTATGATTGAACCTCCAAAAGAGCCAAGAACCCCAAACCCTAAACTGCTCCAGAGGGGTAAGGGAAACTAAAATATTCACCAGGTAACAAAAGCACACCCAGCGTTAGAGTGACGTGCTCCTGGTGGAGAGCAGGTGGAGCACCATGACAGAGGGACCAGCTCTCACTCACTTTTTTGTTGGCTCCTGTTCTGGTCTCCCACAGGTGTGTCTGAGGAGAAACACCATGTCTGGGTGGGGTCCCCCTTTGATTGATAAAACAAGCCTCTCTCCCCGTTGGTTTAGAGAGCTCAGGTTACTTTAGGGACTACACAGGAATGTTAAAAATAGTCAACATGTCATGTGCTTAAATTTTAAAAAAGATGTATTGAATTTTGTTCTGATTGCAAAAGTAATAGGACTTTTTTCTTCTCTCAGTTGGCAAATTTCAAAGATTGATTCTATCCCGAGGTTGGCTTTCAAGGCTGTGGGGAAATAGGAGCGCTCAGATGCTGCTGGGAGCGAGGAAGGTGCTACCTTGCGTGAGGCAGTGGCAGGAGCTATCAGAATTACAAATGGTACGTCCTCATCTAGCAGCCTTGCTCTAAAAAACATATTCTTAAAATGCACATGTATGTGTAATGCCTTATGTCCACAGATGTTCATTACAACATTATTCATAATAGCAGAAAGTGGAAAAGAAAAAAAGCCCATTAACGTGTAGAAGTAATTTTAAATCACGCATCCATATAATAGAATACTTTCCAGCCATCAAGTTACTGAGTTAGATCTGTGAGATCGTGGCTGGATGTCCTTGTTGTAAGACATAAAATAATGAAGTTGTACAAAATGCCACACAAGCCCCGTAGTTCTGTGGATCTGTACCTTCCCGGGAGGAAGCCTTTCAAGGTTACACGTGGAACTGGCCATATGGTTACTTCCAGAAGGTGGGATTGGAGGGAAGGGAACCATTTTGTCATTGTTTTAATTTTTTTGAAAGATTGATAGTTTTATCATTTAAAATAGATTAAAATACAATTGAGTTACAGAGAAAGAGCTTTAACAGAGTCAGGAAAATAGTTTTATGACGTTGTATGCAGAGTGAACCTCAGTTTATCTAAGTGTGACCCTGGAAGTTTCAGTGAGACTCGCATGTGGGACCCCACGAGAGCTTGGGGCTGTTTTGCCCTGACCCTTCCCTGGGTAATATTCCAGGCTACTGGGTTGGTGGAGAACACAGTTTGCCCTTTATTATATCTGCACGTTTGTTGTGCTGTTTTTTAGCTGCATTATTAAAAACTCAGAAAATAAGGTAACTGCACACACCCGCAGTCCACGCACACCTGCAGCAACCTGCCATTGAGATGATTCTGCACATGCAGCTCTTTCACCCAGGTGGTGGGCACTGAGCATTTTCTCATATATTCTTCCACAAAAGCTACTTTTTCTGGCTTACTCTATGGAAATGACACCATGGGTGACATCCTTTACACAACCCTCCAGGCAGACAGAGCCTGGGGATCATCCTTAGTCTCAACGGCGGATTACTCCGAGTCACTTCCGTCTGCTAAGGGCTCACCCTCGCCAGGAGGACAGCTGGTGCCACCCAGCTCCAGCTCCTAAAACGGCTGCTTCCGTTCTTTCCTGGAAAGTTCAGAAAGGAGGCAAATGGGAAGGCCACCTCCCCTCAGGAATACAGGAATAGAA